CTGCTTAAGAGCGACGCAGAGGTCAATATAGCAGGCAGTAATGGTCAAACGCCACTATTTCGGGCTGCAGAAAGAGGACACGATACAGTGGTTAAGCTCCTGCTTAAGAGCGACGCAGAGGTCAATATAGCAGGCAGTAATGGTCAAACGCCACTATTTCGGGCTGCAGAAAGAGGGCATGATGCAGTGGTCAAGCTCCTGCTTGAGAACGACGCAGAGGTCAATGTGGTAGACACCAATGGTCAAATGCCACTGTTTTATGCTGCAACACACGGTCACGAAACAGTCGTTCAGTTGCTTCTAAAGCATCGAGCCTTCCCGGACTTCGCAGATAGTACCTACAGCCGAACACCCCTATCCACAGCTGCGCTAAACGGGCAAGAGGCTGTGGTAAAGCTACTGCTGTCATGCGATACCAATGTTGATTCCAAGGATCATCAAGACCGGACACCACTGATATTAGCAGCATTGAAGGGGCATAACTCAATAGTTGAGCTCCTTCTCAATAAGGGCGCAGACGTCAACACCAAGGATATGAATGGTCGAACGCCACTATTCTGGGCCATATATTCTGGCTACATAACGACGGCCGCAACGCTACTTGACAATCGTGCTGATCCAGACTTCAGAGACAAAAACCAACAAAATCTATTGATGTGGGCTATAAAAAGAGGTCAGGATGCGATTATCAAGCTCCTCCTCGAGCATAGTGCGAAAACAGATCACGCCGATGAATATGGCCAGGTACCCCTGTCCTTGGCTGCGGATGGAGGGCATGTAAATGCGGTCAAGCTGCTGCTCGGGAACGGTGCCTATGTAGACACTCTTGACTTTCAATCTTGTCGGTCACCACTGTGGCGCGCTGCAGAAAGAGGACATGCGGAGGTGGTTGAGTTGCTACTTACGAGCGGCGCTCAGTTAGACTTGACGGACAATGATGGTCGCACGCCACTGTCTAGAGCTGTCGCAAATGGACATAAGACAGTGGTGGAGCTACTGCAATGCGGTGATCGGGAACGAAAATAACGCGGAGGGTTTAAGATTGATATTCTAATTTGAAGTAGCGGGGCAGTTTCTGCGTGTATTTTCTTTTTTTTTTTTTTTTTCTTGTATTGGTTAGTTCTCATTGCCAACCGAGTTTAGCTGATCACCGTACTTATATTGTAGGGAAATGAAGGGAAAGGGATCAAAGATGAAATACTCACTGAGCAGACCACTGAGCGCCCTCACTAAAGCAGCGGTGTCCCGAAGAGGAAGTCTACGGTCGTCTTAGAAAATCAAGTACGTATAGGTACATATATATTCTTATACCTAACCCGATGGCCTTTCCCAAACCTCCAAAAATTTCCAGTTACGTCATACGAAATCTGTACGTAGTAGTTACTTGTACTCCGACTCCGTAGATCTATTTTAAATGCCATAAAGCAGGGGCTCAGTCTAGAATCATCTAAGACATAGGCTAACGCAACTCTAATAGTAGTTTCCATCCGATTTGACTCTCATACTCCGTCATGGAGCAGTCTCGACATACTTCGGGATGTCTCCCCGCGGAGTCATTGACCAGCTTGTTGATCGTTTGGTGCACTTAGCCGGAACCTCTGGGTATCAAACTGTTAGGTAAATTCAAATTTCTCGACTCGAGCATCGAGTATATCAAGAAGCCGATCTAATATCCATAGCTACTGTACCTACGCGGCAGGCATCAACAAAAGAGGAATGACGTAGTTGGAACCTGCAATCTCTGGATCCGGGATTAGTGCCTTTGTAGTTTCCTGGGGCTAACAAGTGGATACTGCCATGCATGGAGACACCAGCAAAACGTACGATGAGAACAATTGTCTAACTGATTTTGGCTTGTTCAGATGGGTTAGATTCTACAATTCTTCCTTTATCCCAAAGTTACCAGTATCATTATTTTCTAGTGTGTCTTTCGCCACTCCGACATTCCCACGCGTATCGCTGTAGCTATCAACCCGCAAGAGAAACCCCCAGCCATATTGACCAGTCCTGTTGCGATGGCCAGCCGTTTAGTCACTGCCCGAGAACGGTTTCGACCCTCTCATCTAGCTCCATTGGACTAAGGATCAAAGCTTTCTCCAAATTCACTTGTCTTGGGACCAACGATTACAGAGGATACTAGTGATGTGGGATTTGGGGTGCGTAAGAAGGTTTGAGATGGAATGTGACAGAGGGATTCTTCCTTTCTGTCGAGACGAATTCGTAGTGGGAGATCCCTGGGGGTCCTATCCTACCGAAGAAAAAACCTAGAACCTTAGAGGAAGATCCCGGGGAAAGGTACAGACCCGTCAACATAAAAGGAGGCTCATCGATAACGGGAGAGCCCGTCGGCAGTGCTGCATAGACCATGGGACTAACCTGAGGCAGAAGACACGTGATTGCCCAAAGGAGACAAGCGCGCTGCTGCTGGACACGGCTAAACCCGAACGGGCACCTTCACGTCTCCGGGCCCGCGACAGCTGGGAAACTTCACCTTCGCGCTCCATTGGCCGCGACTTCACTTTCTTGCTAGTGCTTTCCCTCAGAACCCCCCATTAACCACAGCGACAGTCGCAACTGCCCACAACAACAGATTCACTCATGGACTGTGAAGGTAAGTCCTTTTGTTTTGATTTCCCTCTTCTCCCACCTCTCCCACCTCTCATCTCTCTTCCACCACCATCTTCCTGCACCGTCCCCAGCTCTTCATTTCCACAAAATCTGTCTGCGCTCTACAATTTCCTTGCTTCCAAGCTCTTCTTTGGTTTCACCCATTCAAAATCCACATCTCTTCAAGTTTTGGTTCAAATTGAGCTGCAAACAATGCAAAATGGCTGACATCGAGATGTCCGACCAGTACCACCCTGTCGATGACGAGGACACGATCATGCACGACGCGAGCATGCTTCCCGCCGACGAGTCTGAACTGGGAGTCATGGATTCTTCTTATGATCCTATGGATATCAGTCCCCTCTCAATGAGAAATCCATCTCCCGTTGGCGCTCAGCCCAAGGGCACCGTCCTGGGTCACCTTCCCAACCCCTCAGCTGTTGCCTCCGGACTTGACCAAAACTACGCGGTGCCCGCCTTCCCCAATTATGGCGCTCAGCCCAAGGGCACCGTCCTGGGTCACCTTCCCAACCCCTCCGCTATTGCCTCCGGACTTGGCCAGAACGACGCGGCGCCCGCCGTCCCCAAGTACAACGGAAGGGGCTTTTCCCACAATATCACTCGTTCTCCCGTCATCCGTGTGACTCGACGATTCTCGCCCAAGTCCCCGATTCACAACCCATACCTCACTACCATCAATCCTGCAAAATCGGTCTTGCGACCCCTCCATCTACAAAACCAAACTCCTGTCAAAGATCCCCTCGAGAGAATGAAACGAATGTTCCGCCCCCCTGACAAAGGGTTGGTGATGGTCAATTCGTCTGAACAAATCTCCGAGAAGAAGATCGATCAAGTCCCCGAAATCAAAATCTCCGAACCATCCTCCGAGGACAAGTCTGCTGCACAGAGCTCCAACGACAAGACTACCCTCCATCTCAATGTGAAGGAAACACCTTCTGACTTCCAGTTCCCCTTCAGAGTTCATGAACCGGAAGCATCCAGGAAGAGATGCTACAACGACGGCCCAGCCCACCCCTGCAACTACCAGGTTCCTGAAGTGGCCGGTCACATCAACACTAAGTATCGTCGCGTGAGCATTAACGACTTTCCGGTCTCCGCTATGAAGGCGAACGACAAGCAAAAGCCCGCCGAGTCTCTTCACACTCCTCCCACCCATGATCGTGCGGCCTCCGATCGCGTTACCGACGAGCACATGTCCGCTCAAAACGGCCACAGAGTCCCTTCTATTACCACCCCTCACCACATTCCCGGCGCGTGGCCCGAATCATCTCCTGTCTACGATCCTCTCTATGCTACAGTTGAGGACGTTATGATGACAGGTGCTATTACTACTGTACAAGACGATATTGTTATGACTGATGAAAACGAAAACCCCAAAACAAAAATCAACAACATGGCGATCGATTCCATGGAAATCGATGAGCGCAACCAAGCAACCCAAAACATGGACATTGACCAGAATGAAGCCCCTCTTGGGGAACAAAATGCAAACTTCTGGCGCGGCTATTGGCATGGCTACTGGCAGGCGGCTTACCAGGGAACCACGAAGGCAGTTGGCACTTTGCTCAACTTCGTCAGAGACACCTTTTCTTCCTCTCCTTCGTTTGGACCCGTTGTCGACCAGACCTTCAGCATCTTTCGACGGCGCCACCGTACATCTCCCGAACGTCGTCGTGGATCTCGTGAGTCTTCCCCCACCCATCAGCATTCCCCGACACGAGCAAGTCTTCGTTCGCTGCCCGAAGAACAGCGACACAAAATCCGTTGCCACAAATGGCGCAGCGACCGCAGATCAGCAGGCCCAGTTGAGCTGCCTTTCCCTGAACTCCACATTGAGTACCCCCAGTCTCCCGCATCTATCGATTCCTCTTCGCCGAACAAAGATCAGAAGATGCCGGGAGCCATATCATCCAAGCGGGCCAAGAACCCGAAATTTACACACAGGCAGAAGGAGAAGCGCAGTCACCGTCACAGACATGGACGTTCCAGTTCTAAACACGACTCTCGAAACGCAAAGGGTAATCGGTCCTCCATGTACGGCGTCCACAAGCAGCCTGCTACAGCTAGCACTCATCCAAGTCAGGCATGGGTTCAGCCAATGAGCCCCAATGTTCATCGTCGAGTGTTTTTCGCTCATACCCCCCCAAGAAGATACCCCGAGCTGGCCGAGAAGGAACGGCAATACGCTGCATGGAGAAATGGTCTCGGCGAAAAGCGCAGAAAGGAGAAGGAACTCGAAGCTCAGATCCAGGAGGCCGCTCGTGCTGCAGCTGCGGTCCGGAAGGAGGCAACGGGCCGAGCAGGTGATCAACGCACATCGAAGGAGAAAGAAGTCCTCCAGGAAAACCAGAAAACCCAAAAAAACCAACAAAAACAGGAAAAACAAGAAAAAAAGAAGAGCCGCAAAGTCCACTTCCCCGAGTCGCCCAACTTGGCCACAGAGATTGCTCCGCACCTTCGTCCCGCTGCTTCGGAGACCAAGTTAGATGAAGAGCAGAAGGAGAACATCGTCCCCACCACTGAAGAAAGCGAGAAAGGCCCGGAAGTTACCGTTGAGAATGTCGCAGAAGCTGCTGTTATTGACGAAGCGCCCCCCGATACCGCTTCCGAGTCTGAGACCGACGAGGATCCGTGGCTTCGCCTTGATACCCCCTTTGGAAGACCCGTTTCTGCCGTGAGATTGTTCTATCCGGATCCCCAGCCCCTTCCTGCTGGCAGAACAGAGTCCATCTACGCATCTGAATGGCGCGAAATGGAAGAAGAAGAGAAGCGCAAACAGCGCCAGACACGAATCCGCCCCGACGGCCCTGCTGTACGTCCACTCAGTGAGGCATGGGAACGTAAGGTTTCGGAACTCAGGCGCTTGCCCCCCAGTCGGAAGGTGGCGACGACCCTGAACGGCGATCCCTTGAGCCAAAAAGATCTGGTGACTTGCTACACGCCCATGGCCTGGTTGAATGATGAGGTGATCAACTCTTACCTCGCCATCATCATCGAATACCTCCGCCGGACCCACAACAACGCGGGCCGGCACGACAAGCCGCGGTTCCACGCATTCAACTCGTTCTTCTTTGCGAACTTGCGCGACAAAGGCTATGAGAGCGTCCGTCGTTGGGCCTCAAGGGCCAAAATTGGGGGGGAGTCCCTCCTGGATGTCGACACCGTCTTCGTCCCAGTCCATCACAACTCCCACTGGACATTGATCGTTGTGAAGCCGATGGCTAAGACCATCGAGCATTTTGATTCTTTGGGCCCGCCCTCCCGGAGCCACATCGCCGTGATCAAATCATGGCTCCGGGAGGAGTTAGGCCCAAAGTTTCGGGGGGACGAGTGGACGGCGTTGCCGTCCCAGTCCCCCCAACAAAACAACGGAAGCGACTGCGGCGCTTTCCTGCTTTCCACTGCCAAATCAGTGGCCATTGGGCTCGAGCCGATGTCCTACGGCGCCACCGACGTACCGTTGTTGCGCCGTAGGATCGTGGCCGAGCTCATGGCCGGTCGCCTAGAAGGGGAGTTTGACCCCGCCCATGGTGGGGAGGTGCTGCTCTAATCGGGAGTTTAGAGCGCGTCTCTGCCTCTCCTCCATGGGGGGGCGACCGAAAGCGCCGCAGTCCATCAATATCCAGTGGAAATCCGGGACGAAGACGGTGTCGAACTTTTCTTTTATTGTTTTTCTTTTTTGTTTCCTTTTGTTTTGTTGCTTTTTTGTTTTGCGTTCCGGCGCATGCATCCAACGGAGTTTGTCTTTTTTCTTTCTTTGTTTGTTAGAGTACATTGAACGGGCATGGCGTTTGTTGTCCGAGTTGCATTTGTGTTGAGTGATACCCCGTCAGATGAGGCCTTTACGCTCCTGACTGCATTGCAAGCGTTGAGATTAGAGACCATTAGCGTGGCGTTTGTGCACAGGATTCTGTTTTGTTTTTTTTTTTTTTGGATAGGCTCGGTTTGCATGTGGATATTGATGTATTACGGACAGGAAAGCAGGGCCTGTGTTTGAATAGTCATGTATGATTAGAACATTGAGAGATCGAATTTGGAGACCGCTATCAGCGTATTACAAAGTCAAATTGTTCCATCCTGAGTAGCGTTTAACTTGTAGTGCTGAGCACCAATTTTCATCTTCGGTCATTTTCATCTTCAAAAATTGCCCTCTACGGTGATAGATTACGGCTTGAAGATGAGCGCAGTGAAGTCATACGGGCGATGCGATGGAATCAGAGCGAACTCAAAGTCAGATAGTGTTCATATTCTGGTGTCATCAAGTTCTCAGGCTAGCCCTGAACTACGGACATGAAGTACTTCTAAAACCGACAGAAATCTACCGAGCTTCCGCAGGGCAGACACAATGAGCCCTCATCTAGCCAGCCGCCACGGCGAACTCATAGATTCCCCAGTATCACTTAGTCAGTCATTACGCTACGTCTTTCTACCCGATTGATCAATATCTAGGAGCCTAAAACGGGGGATTGTAGACAATCCGTTTCAAACCCAACATCTTCCAAGAGCGAGAGAGAGACCTCTGTAGGAGTTCGTAGTAGTCCGGATCGAGTTCGAACAGCGAGTCTAATGTAGAACGATGCGCCAAGCCGGGGTGAATTGAAAGGACGCGTCGACTTATATATTTAGTTGGCGAGCGGTCGATGAGAAAAGGCTTGTTCAACGAGTAAAGTATGTCGGGGAAACAGTGTCGGGATCTGCGCGTAGCGTTCGCAGTGGCAGTATCAAGGTGAGCTGAGGGTAGGCCACTCTCTTGTTGCGTGTTATAAGTCAGATGGTGCGGAGAGTAAGGGTATGCTCGCATTTTCGTCTTGGAGATTGACCCGTGCCTGTAGTTGATGCTGATGTGTGCCGAGATGGTTGGGAAGATGGATGTGTGTGTGGGAGGGTAGGATAAGTAGCGAGAAGGGTTAAGAACGTATATCTTGCCTAGACTAGAATATAGCATTTGTTAGCGAGAAGGACAATGTGTGTTGGGGAAAGGATGAAGGAGTAGTGGAGGGTTTATCTTCGGCGACGCGAGACGTAGCTGTTGAGTAGATATAGATAGAGACAGCGAGAGGATGTCGAAGTCGGAGATGTTATTCGTTCGCGTATTTATCATGGAGATCGATGCAGCCGGCGAAGTTAGCACAGAGTTGAAAGCCCAGAAAGTGTAGGTAAGGTTGGTATAGTCTGCTTTTGGGCTCGAGAACAAAAAGCAGACGCAGTGGGTGATTGTTTAGTCTTGGAGGTGGTGGAAGTGGTCGGACACGGCGATAATCACGGAGGTCAGAGGACGGATTTCCAAGGGGAAAGAATAGACACATCAATAGTTAGCTTCAAGTTAATAGAAAATGCAAGGTCAAACGAAATGTAATAAGGCAAAGTGCGTAGCAACGGGAACGACGTGCACTAGTTATGTTGTTTTCCAAGCAGCCCAAGATAGAAAGTCCGATGGGTGGCTGGAGAGTTGACGAAGTCGCGTGCAGTCGCGAGTATACCAGGGCAAGATGGTCGTTATCTCATAGTGACTGTAATTATGTTTCGATTTTCCAAGAAGAAATTGAATCGTACTTGGTCGCTCCCTCCAGAAGGCAATTTTGCGCCCTGAATATGCTTGGTTGGTGGTGGCCCACTTTGTATGGGAAAAGCGATCCCCCCGGAATCACTTTCGGACACCCCATCGATTCCACACACGATTATAGGCCGGTCGAGGTCGGCGAGTCCGTGAGAGAGGCAGACTATGATGGCAAGTCCTTGTTGAATTCCTGCTGAATCAACTGGTTATTCTCTCCCTGTTGGCTCCATTAGCAGGAGTTGGTGGTCTGCGGCGTGCATAAACTCTTCAAGACCGAGTCAACTGGCATCGCGTTGATGACAGCGGAGAGGGGATCACATAACTTGGCACTGCGATAAGCATCCGTAAAGCGTTAGTTTAATTTAGAATGAAATAATGAGGCAGCTTGCAGGTTGAGCATCGAGTTGGTTGTTGGAGTCTTGGAGACAGTTGCTACACTGAGTTACCTACACCGTAGTTACTTGCGGCACGGTGATGATGATGTTTACTTACCAGGAGACACTATGTATTACGAATACCCCCGCTGCGTATCGATGCGCCCTGGCTGAATCGGACGAGGCGAGTCTGCCTGAGGTGGCACGACGGGAGTGGCAAGGCAGCCATCGCACGCCGTCAGTGGCTGCCCGAGGGTCAGCTGGCTTCGGTGTGACCGCCAAGACCTCCAGGTTGCGTTGAAATGTTACCGTCACAGTCGATGTTTAATACCGTCGGTTTGCATCTTTCGAACATCGCCAGATTCCGCTGTATTGGCAGAGGAAGATATGGATATTTTCAGTGAGTTCCTATTTTCTAGGATTAAATAATTCAAAGTCATACATAGTTTTCTCTCGATCATAATGACTGATTCTGATTCATACTCTGTAGGCGCCGACCATGAATTGCAATTAGGGCTGCCAGGTGGTCAGGCGCCAAGCCGAGATCCCGTGTTGGCCACGAAAACGACGGTCAAAGGAGGGGGCGAGTCTTTCTCTCGACCGTCATCATCCATCACTCACCATCAACCAGATCACATCCATCCACAACCCCATCAAAACCATCGTTTTCACTATCAAAATGGACATTATACGTTGTTAAATTTTCCAGGTGACGTCAGTGAAGTTGAGAACTCGTCGAATTTTATCGAACTCTATCCCTATCCCTATCCCTATTTATTACTACCGCCATCACTATCTCTCGTCATGACCGCCACCCTTGAACGCAGCGTCTCTCGAACCTCGAGCATGTCGGTGCCGAAATCTAGCCCTAGACTCTCGCTAAGACACGAAACCACTCCGCCCAGTCTCTCCGATCCCGCCCTATCCCATCTCCACGACCGGTTAACTCTGCTGGACTCGCGTGTGCTCGAATTACGCTCTACAATCCTGACCAAAGATGGCTACATCGACCGACGCAACCGTGAGGACGAGCACATTCGCCGGGAATTTGAAGCTCATCGCTCGATTTCGAGCCGTATCGATGTGAACGTCGTCGCGTTGCGGACAGATGTCGACCAGCTAAAGTCAGGCGTGTTCCAACTGAAATCGAGCATCGGTCAATCAGGTAACGAGACCGTGTTCCTACGCAGCGATGTAGACCGTCTTTCAAAGAATATCGACCAGATCCAGTCCGACCTGAAGCAGCTGCAGACCGACGTCTGTGGATGCAGCGTGGAGATCAGCAAACTGCATGCGACTATCAGCCAACTCCGAACCGATCTGATTACTCTCCAACATGAAACCTCTCGCCATTTGAACTCGGTTTTCGATCGGTTTTCTCTGATCGAATCCCGCATGAAGCATTCGGAACGCGTCCGATTCAATTCACTGGCTCACACAACCCATGCTCCTATAACACCAGTCCCAGTCGTTGAGGCTGACGGATCTTTGCAATGGCCCGAATATTTCCCCAGGACCGTGTGGCGATTCTGGTGCCTGAAGAAGCGAAGCCGGAGTGAGTGAAAGAGATCATATGATAAGGTAGAACGGTGGGATTTTTCTAACAGTCCTGTCTAGTCAACCGCTTGGTCCAGTTAGCCGATTTCTACGAGCTTGGAGGATACCAGTACTGGGGTCGTATGCATCAAACCGAATCGATGTTCGGGAGCGATAGCGAATCGAGTGACTCGAGTGACTACCCTTCCAACCTGACTCGCGCCGAGGCCGTCCGCTTATACCCGGAGGCGGCTCACCAGGCCCTGGCAGCAACCCTAGGCTTGGTGTACTATAAGATCCGCAACGAGGTTGGAGAGGGCCCGAATGCAAATGCCCATTTGCCCACCCGTCCTCCGAAGCGCCAGCAGGAAGAGGTGGCCTCAGCCCACTCCGGTTCCAAACATAAACAAGCGAAAACGCGTCGTCCCAACGATATGTCACCCACTGCTCTCCACAAGTTGGTTACTGGTCCCTCTTTAGAGTCGAAATCCATAGTGTCTGAAGAATCGGACAAACTCGGATGGAACGCTCATTCTGAGACCTCTGATGAGGCCATGAGCAAACTACGAGGGGTCGTTTCCGAGGAAGTGGGCACATTGCTTCGGGCTTTGGAGCGTGGTCGTGTCAAACTCAAACCCGGCCGGAACGAACGAACGAATCTTTCGCCTACCGAATCCACCAAGGGCTCTCGTCAGAGCAAACTTGGCCTGGATGGGGCGCAGGACGATGATGAACGTACCTTACCAAACACCATTCCGACTGAGATAGTCTCTCCTTCCTCTGGGAAGACGGAAAAAACGGAAGAGCATGAGCTTCCTGATACTGCATCTAATTCTACGAGTCCATGAATGGACTTGTTAACGGTTGATTGTATCATATCGCTCGCTGCACTTCAACACTGCTTCAAGCATCCGCAGCCGCTAATGGGAGTTTTCATATTTCCCAGTGGATGTACAGCCCTCGGCGTACCGGCGGCGCACATGTGGCCGTCCGATTGCCCACACTGTGTGCTTACTCTTCTGCAGATCGCTTCGATTGTCTCCCCGCAGACTTAAACCATCTGGTCTGAATGATATCGGCGGAACATCAGCAAATACTTGAATAGATGGACTGTCCACCATCGAATGATGTCTACTCACGGAACCGTGAGAAGCCAGTGAAATGCCTTTGGCTTCTAAGATTATGACAAATTAGCGGCATCTTGGGAATCAGGTTTGGCATTTTATGGCGTCTTTGGATATGTATTAAAGATACCCTTTTTGATTTGATTATTTAGCGATCAGTTCGTAGCATTTTGAACTTGTTGATTATATCTGTTGGGCTTGACTTTTAGGAGCAATTGAGCATTGATATTGACATATGATCCTACAGTCTCGATGCCGAATGAATCGAGATGACATTATTCCCCGCCGGAATGATGCTGCAACATCCGGACTTGCCCAAGGAAGTCCGCCTGCGCTGCTATTCCTTGTAAAGAGCCACCTGATTGAGACGATCGCCGTCCTGCAAGTGGCTAAGTAACAACTATCGACAGGGCTACATACAACAGCCAATTCAATGATACTCAGCCCTCATTCTGGCCCGAAATGCCATTATTTGCCGTCGGAAGAATGCTAGATTTAATACCCGAACCTACGCACCGAGTCCGCTTGCGATGCCATTCCTTGTAAAGAGCCGTACCTACCTTTCTACCCTACCTCTACGCTGATAGACATCAACCTTCCAACGTCCATATTCAATGTCGTGCACATTGTGCCAGATTTGGTAAGTTCCTTTCATTACGCTCTCACGGCCTAATGGAAGAGCAGTTTTATGCTAAATCCTTCCTCAACTATTACTTCATAATGGCATCTCCTGGCTCTGATTAGATTCTATCCCCGAAGCAACCATCTATATTCACCCTTCCTAGATAATTGTTGGAGCCTGATGGTATGGCTTGTGGCGCTAGCCTGCACGTAGTTAGTCAGCTGACCCACACTGGGCCGCTGCATCTCTAGAACCTCTGCAGTTGTAGTATTAGAAAGAATCAAGCGTTTCCATCCGATTTTCGAGCCTTATCAGAGCTATCGCTCATCAATAATTATAGACAATAGTTTAGCTCTTCCATGCGTAATCTAATGGGTTTACTTCCACATGGTGGCCAGAAATGTTTGCTTTCTAGAAATCTCTACGAAACAAAGCACTCCGCATTAACTGCTATGATGAAGAGAAAGCCACTCATTTAGAACATCATCATTCATAAAGAAGCCCGATTAGGCTTATTGCATCCCACAATGCCTACAGCTGAGCGCTGCAGACCTAGATAGGAACACACACCTTCGCGCATTCATTCCTGCTCAAGAGTTTTGACGAAAATGATACTAGCAATGACTAGAAAGATGGTCCTTCCGGAGTGCCAAATGCACCTACATACTCCAAACGATTCGTCTAGTCTTCAGTACCGAATCGAGTGTGTTGGATCGAGGAAAGGATCATGGAGGCAGTCAGTAAAGAGGCCCTTTTTTCCGCAGACTGTGAAGATGTACAGTTTTCGCCAGATTGTGCAATAGTCGGGATCTTTCGAGGAGGTGAGAGGGGTTTCCAAACGAGCCGTTGGGGACCCTCAGCCCTTGGAGCAGGTGGGAAAACTGCTTCGGGCTTAGGGAATGCGAGCAAGATATGCGGATAGTTCGACCAGAGGATTCATCAAGGGGGGATGAGAAGACAAAACCGTTTCGCCCCCAAAGGACGAGTAGTCGTAGATCTGCGCGCCGCCAATCGAGAGACAGAGCCAGACCTGTATCCCATTCCTGCACAGGACGAGATTGGCCACCCTGAAAGACACAGTGAAACCAACCAAACTGATCCCAGAAAGAACAACAAAACATATCAAGGTGTTCTCGAGCTCTCTCCGCACATCCAAGATCATTTCCCAAACGTTGAGTGGACTGCGACCTACTGCCGTGGTTGCCTCTGGGTCCTCAAGAATATTTCCTCGATGCCACTTATATCTCTATCATATAGAGATTCTCTGCTCTTACCTCATTGGTGTCACTTCTCCCTCGGTTTCATTAAGTCTGTCGTCCGTCTGTCTTTACCATATCTTCCAGCCAGCCCAATAATGTGAGTTCAGTGCTTTGAGTTTGTGGACCTCCTCAATGCTCAGTATGACCATCACAGTGCTATGAAAATACTTCTTGACCTCCGATGACTTTTCTCCCACAGGTTCCAATAACTAATTCTAATTTTTTCCTACTCCTACATATGGAATCCTATCTACATACCAAGAGTCAATCTTTGTTCGACAATATAATCATCCGACTCTTGGTTGGCAATTGAAATATAGTCCGGCCATTCAGTATTCCGATTCAGCAGCAGCAGCAGCAGCATGCATGTATTATCTTGGATTGAAGGTACAGATCGGCCATCTGGCCAATAATTGTACGCCAAAGCGGACCCCGTTACTACCCTAAATTCCTGTCGTGTACCTCCCACGGTGGAAGATATCAGCCTCTTACCAAGGGTCGGTCAGAGAATCGTGCGTCTTTGTGTAGGATTCTGACAGCGAAACCGGAGAGCAAGGTTTTGTCCTCCTTCCGGTAGTGTGCGTGTGCCTCCGCCCGAGCCTGTAACCGGTCAGCTCACATTAGAACTTAGCTTCATCATCAATCTTACTACGTTTCAATTTCATCAAGCAGTTGCACCCAGGCAACAAGTTGGTACACCATGATCTCGTCCTTTTGAAAGTTGTGTAGCACTGCAGTTCAGAGACATGATACATCCGTCCCTCGAGCGGTTCGAAGCGTCGCAGAAAACGCCTGGTCCATGCAGGCACTCGGACATCGCTTTTACTTGTCAGCACTGAACAGTTGCGTCCTTGACTCAGTGAGCCTCTTCAATCTTCTACGATGACCGTCTTCAGCACGACGCTAGAGAAGATTTATCTTCGGAGTGTTGATGTGCATTTGATATATGCGATGTTAATAAAATAGGAGCCTTAACTCTCATTCTATAAAGGCTAGAATAATCTAATATAGTAATGATTGGTCACAATTGTCAAAAATTCTACATCCATGCAAAAAAGGCGATCTGTAGTGAGGAACCAACCCTGAGTCCAGCTCGGGAAAATATATTACAAGCAAAGTGAACAAACAGGTGAATCGATTAATCCGCTGCCCCTGCGGGAACGGATTCAAACAGATCCTGTTTGAAGACTTCCAAAACCTTCTTCTCATCGATGTTCGTAAGATCCTTCGAGCCAGGTAGCGGCTGTGTCTCAGCCTCGGCGGTTATTTCGTCAACCTCAGGCTCCGGGTCAGGATGTGTGCGTGTGTATTCTTCCTCTAGAAGGAATCGGGGATTCTCGGCGTCGGTACTCAAAGCTTCCGGGGACTCATGCAGCACATAAATGGTAGGGAACTCCAACACAGTACGCCCGCGAAGGGCCGAGGTGAAATCAATCTTGGGAGATAACGGAATCAGAACATTTTCCTTGGTGGTTGTTCTTGGGCGATGCAGATAGAAAAAGACATCGCGGTGGGAGGTGACCTCGGCAGATTGTGTTGACGATTGCTGATCTAGAGCGTCGGCCGACTGTGTCTCGTTCTCGACTGGCGGCGTAGTCGTGTCTTGCGGAGTTTGTGTATCTTCCGAAGGTCCGCCGCCTTCAAGGGTTTCGGACGCAGGCTCTTGTTCCTTCTCTTCGCCCTGCTCTAACGACTGCTTCTGCTGCTCTTCCATTTTCTTCTGCTCCTTCTCCTGCTTCGGCAGAGGATAAACTCGATCATAAGCCTCCGAAATGGTACTCGACTCGAGACAATGTCTGCTCCGCTTCTGACCGTCAGGCATAATCCACTCAACCGTCCAATTCAAACTTTTAGCCCTGCACACAGCCAATCAGTCAGTATCACCCCCTCCCATAAAACCTGACAAATGAAAACAGAAAAAAACGTACTTAGGATGCCACCTCGACCCATTACTCTTACTCCGACTCATCCCCTTCGGCGCCCGAATAACTTTGACGCCCGCATTCTCAGCACCGCGCATAAACGCCGTCTCGCCCCTAACCATACCGCCATCATTATTCGGTCTCTTTCTCTTCCGCGCGCCGTCACCCTCACTCTCGACTTCGTGTTCGAGCCCCACGGCAGCAACATCGGTATACGTATGTCGCTGCGGATCTACCTGGACACCTCGATTATCCGCATCGCGTTCGGCGCGTTCGATCTGTCTTTCAATGCCGGTGATGAAATTGAAGTCGCGGTCAAAGGCAGCCTCGGTGGCTAGTTCGTTGCGACGTAGGTAGGCTGCTGGATCGCGGATACCGGAGCATTGGGACCAGAGCTTATGGCGGCGCGAGCAGGGAAGGGAGCAAGTGCGAGTTGAGCAGCGAGGGCAGCGATATTTAGGCGCGTTGATGTGACTGTTGTCGAGTTAGGATTTGTCGCGATAGCGATGCTGCGCATGAAACTTACCAGATGGTGCAGAGGTCTGATAAGAGAGCATCCTCTGAGCTGGACATGATGAACTATAATATGCGAGCGAAACTATGCAAAGAAATGGAATGAAAAGTTCACAGAGAAAAATGGATGCGAAGAGAGCGAGTTGGAGAGCGGCGGAGGAAGAAAAGTTGGAGAAAAGTTTCGATGCTTATCGATAGCGGTTGATGCCTCAGGCTACGATGGGTCTAGCCTTGTATAGATTGCGGACTGGCCGGCCAGGACTTGACTTCTTCATCATTTCCTTCATTTCCACCATCGCTTAATTTTTACCATGCATGATCGACAAAGCTCCGAAGGTCTGATAGAGAAATCCACAGCCATGGACTGCACCAGATCAGCTCATTGTGATTACTGATCTTCTCCGCAGCGATTTCTAAGCACTGCTTGCTCAACGCCCGCTTTGAATGACGACATACGCATGGGTATAAGTATGGACCCCTCCATCATTGATCAAACAATAATCATCATTCTAACATAACCTACAGCTAAATACAGAGTATCATAATCATGTCTGCTAAGTCCATCGCTGTCGTCGCCGGTGTTGGTCCCGGCACAGTATGTCCCCCCCAGAATACTCATACTATCTATACAACCCAAACTAAAAGGTGCAGGGTGCCTCGATCGCGCGCAAATTCGGAAAATCATACAACATTGCAGTACTAGCTCGGAACCCGGCAAACTTCGAAGCCGTTGTCAATGAAATCAAATCCAACGGCAGCGAAGCCATCGGCATCAGCACCGACCTAACGAGCTCCAGCAGCGTTCAGTCTGCGTTCGACCAAATCACTCAGAAATATCCAGACTCGCCTCTAGCAGTGGCGGTATTTAACCCGGGCGGGGGCTTTGTGCGAAAGCCATTCCTGGAGTTGACAGAGGAGGAGTTTGTGCAGGGATACGATAGTCAAGGGTACGTTGCATACAGCTCTGATCGATACTGTCCATGGTCATACCACGTCGGCTAGAGACAAAACCTAATCGTCAGTGTAGAAAAGGAGCATTTAACTTCGCCAAAAGCTCACTCCCTTTGCTTCTCAAGGCTAAGCACCTTCAGCACCCACCGACCTTGATCTTCACCGGCGCGACAGCGAGCGTCAAAGGCTCCGCGACCTTTTCAGCCTTCGCGACGGGCAAATTCGCCTTGCGTGCGCTGGCACAATCGCTGGCTCGCGAGTTCGGCCCTCAAGGCGTGCATGTCTCGCATGTCATCGTCGATGGGGTGATTGATATTCCCCGCACGAAGGAATACAAGTTCGAACATGAAGATGCCAAACTTGATCCTGATGCTGTGAGTATTATTCTTGGAAGATAATCTTATAAATGCTAGAACAGAGACTGATTCTAAAAAGATCGCGGATTCCTACTGGCATTTGCACACGCAACCCCGAACAACATTCGGATTCGAATTGGATCTGCGACCCTATGTGGAGAAATGGTAGCGGTTTACGGATAGAAGGCCAAGTGCCAGGCTTCCAGGCTTTCAGGAAATAGCAGCGGTCGATCATACGGTTTGTAGCCATATTCCGGCGGGATGAGGGGTAGATTTAATCTAATACAGCGTAGTCTATCACATCATCTCACTGGAATAGATTAAATTGGAGTGAAAATGTCTCATTGCCAAACTCAACTCGGGCAGATCGGCAGCTCCGCTGTCTGAGATGCTCCCGGGATCGTCGACGCGAGACGGAGTTATTCTGACAGTGTATTGCTATAAAAAGCCCGAGAAACGCAATGTAGAAAGACTTTGACACAAATCGATCTCTTTCTCCAATTGATTGTCTATTCTTCTACAAGATAAGATAAGAAGGAGGACAAAAAAGATGCACCTCCCAACCACCCTCCTCACCTTCCCGCTCGCGGCCTCCGCAGCAACAACCCTCATCCCAACGACCGTCTTCGATTCCGTTTCCTCCCTGGAAGAATACTTCGCATACCTCTACCCCTGGGGCTCCGACCACAATGGTTCTGCCCGGATGCAAGGCAACTCCACCGACCAGGAGTACATCTCCGTGGCGGACGGGACCTTGACTCTTGTCGCAAAGCCGGTTTCCGGTGAAGAGCCTACCAGTGGGGGCCAGGAAATCAACTACCTCTCTGGAGCGGTCCATTCTGCTACCACTTTCACGGTGGAAGAAGGATCTGGGTTCAACATCGAAGCGGAGTTCCAGGCACCTGTCGGCACCGGTACTTGGCCTGCTTTCTGGCTGAATGGGGCCAATACCTGGCCACCTGAGATTGACCTGGCTGAGTGGAAGGGTAGGCTTTTACGCCTCAGATATTAGATTCATATTGTTTAAATTGCTTGAGACTAATGATATGGTGATTTTGTAGGAACCGGAGATATCAGTTTCAACACGTTCAATGTAAGCTGTCTTCTCGACAAACACTTACACAGGACAAGAAACAAACTAACAAAACTAGTCCTCCTCTGAAGTTCAATCCCTGGATACGGAGTATTCATCGCCAGATGACTTCCACACCGTGCGCACCGAGATTCGCGATGAAGACGGCTCCAACATCTCGGTGGCATTCTACCTCGACGACGAACTAGTGACGACCCAGTATGGCGGAGAATATGTCGGAAAACCACTGCATCTGTGAGTCCATCCACCTTTGTTTCTCCCGCTAGATGACCGAAAAATCATTAACGGTGCCCAGAATCATCAATTTGCAAATGGAAGGCTCGTCTGGAACCCCCGGTCCCTCGGAAGGTGAGTTTGTATTGTCTCCATGATTGCGTGAGTGGTTTTCTAACTGAAATGCCTAGACACGTACTACCGTATTCGGAATTTGTCTTTCGAGCAGATCTAGGCGAATCATCTATTGAGAGAAGAGAAATCATATGTAGATAGATAGTTACATTTGCAGTAGCTCATGTACATACTTCCGACCTAGGCATAAATATACACAACTCATGCATAAACCACATGACTAAGCAACATAACCATGACAGCATCCCCAGCTCCTCTCAACTTCTCCTCACCTCTCCTCCCCCCCTCTCAACTCCACTCAATTCCACCCCCAACCCATCAAATCCTTCCACAGAACAACCAAACACCAACCCACCACCCCCCTCACCCGCGACCAACATGGTCCTCGACGACGCCTCCCTCCAGGCCTCAATGGGCTCCGAAGGAGGAGAAGGAGTCGGCGGCGGAGGGAGCTTCGTACCCGAAAACACCGAATTCCCCATCCCGAAATTCTACCCCCGACAAGTGCGCCCGGAGCTAGTCACCCGGCCCGATCTATTCATCATGGCCTTCTATCCGGGGTCATGGCAATGGCGCAAAAAACTCACCTTCACGATCAACCGCCGACTAACCAACATGCAAGTCATCACGGAGCGGCCCCCCACGCAAGACGAGGTCGACGCGATGGTCACACACACCAGCCGACGGGTGTATCACGAGCGATTCGGAGCGCCGCTGGGCCTCGCGCAGACATACAACTCGATATGCAAGACGCTGCAGAAATGGGATACCTGGCGGATATATTACCGACGGGAAGGGAAGTGGGTGCATCCGGTGGACGGGTTCAAGGCGGTTCGGAACATGGCGGTGGCGGATTCGGCGAGCGCGGCGAAACTGATGGGGATGGTGGGGGTACGGGGGTTCTTCTGGACGCTGCTGGCGTTGACGGCGTCGTCGATAGGAGCGACGTTTCTGGAGACGGTAAACTTGACGATGGATCCTCGGTTGGCTGATTTTAGGGAGGAGGCGAAGAAACAGGATCCTGAGGTCAAGAAGCAGAAGGCGTTGGAGGCGTGGAAGCGCGAGGCGGCTGAGAGGGCGGGTAGGATCGTTCCGGGGATTGCGGGCGACCAGGCGACCCCTGGGGAGGAGCAAGGGCAGCAGCAGCCGCAGCAAGAGCAGATGGCGTCGGCGTCGACGGGTTGGGAGTCTTCTTCGTCATCGTCGCCGTTGCCGTCGCCACCTTCTCGGGCTCCGCCGGTTGCGGAACAGTCCCAGGGTGCCAGTTTCTTCGACGATGATGATGCCAGTCCCACAGCTCCGGAGTACAAATACTCTGAGGGCAGGAGCCAGGGCGGAAGTGCCTGGGACCGGATCAGACAGCATAATATGTCAGGCTCCCCGAGCCAAAGCAGCCAGAGTCCACAGGCCAGACAGGAACAGGGAGGATGGAACTCATTGCAAGGGACATCAAGTTCTGGCTCTGGCTCTGGCTCTGGCTACTCCCCCTCAAACCCGGATTGGGGCAGACAGCGGGAGCGGGAACAGTCGCAGGCAGAATTCGATCGGTTGATCGAGTCCGAAAGGAATGCCGGTACTGATTCGTGGAGTGGTGGAAAGCGCTGGTGAGGTTCGATCTACCCTGTCCAAGGCTAGGTAGTGATTCTATGGAAGGGATGTCTTGTCTTCAATGTACGTTTAGCCAATCTCGCCTATATTCTTACATTTTCTCGATGTAAATTCTTTACGTGTGAGCGCTTTAGTAAATCAATAAGGGGCGCGTTCGATTATTCAATTATATGAACCTGGTTATAGCATGGCAGACCTATCGACCAGGAACAAAAACAAATTCACATCCTAATTACACGGGTTGAAATGACTTTTCCTGCGCTCTTGCAGACCCGATTCAGATACGAGAGAGTGGAAGAAGAGGAAAAAATAAATGTAGACAGAAAAGTGGCAAGTCGCTAGGACACGAAAAGACCCAAATCTGTCAGACTATAAAAGAAAGGGTATAGAATCAAAGATAAGGAAAAACAAATTTGACGGCAATTATACCATTAGGATCTGGGATAGTAAAGAAAGCAAATCATAAAACCAAAGGCAAAGGTCGTTAATCGTAAGGTCCAATATTCCAAATATTCGAAATTCATCAAGAAACAAAAAAAAAAGTAGTGAAAAGAAGGGTACAACTAAAACAAGGAAATTCATGAATAACCAACCAAAGAGGCAAATCTGCATTACATCCGACTTTCAGCCATTTGCACGCTTTCGTAAGGCACTTGCACCTCGCCAGCTGGCACCCACGATTCGGGTCCACGGCTACCCATCCGGGTCAGGTTGCGGATTTTGGAAGTGAAGCTTTCGTTCACACTTCGGCCGCGGCGATGATCAAAGGACATTCTACGACGTTCGAGTGTCGGGCGTGTCTCCATATTAAGCGCCGGAGCGGCAGTCATTGCACGAGGGAGCAATTTGCCCATATTCTCATTATTGTCAATGGCAATATCGATGGTGCCGGAAGATTCTCGCGGGGATGCGCTGCCCGACGACAGCGGAGCGAATGGGGGTGGCGGTGGAGGAGGAGGGTTCAGGTGCTGCAGCTCTGGTAGAATGGGTGGGTTTTCGGCCTGCTTCTGTTGCATGGCGTTCTCGATGGTTTCCTCGATGCTGATGGTCACGGGAGAACCACCGTAGCTGTAGCCACTCGACCCGCTCATCTCCCTCGAGCCCTCTCGACGATGGCCCGCATTTCGGCCTCTGCTGGTTGAACGGCTCCTGGGAAGGCGCGGATTAAATCTTGGATGAGTGGGCAGGTCAGTGGGCACGGGTCCTGTCTGCTGGTTTTCGGGCATTGGCACAGACATGGACCGACCGATTCGCTCCGCTTCGCCCATGAAATATCGTGGGTCGGTTAGAAGGGTGGCACTGTCAGGGACAGGCGGAACTGACGGCACGGTCTCCTCGTATCCATTATATCTTGGGTGTCGCATTGCCTTCGGGGTCGACGGTAATCCCGGCGGGCCGCCTGATCGGGGCGAATTGGAATCTGAGCTGCTTGGATATTCAGGGGATCCTTTGCCCGATGAAACTCTGCGCCGTCCCGGTGTCCGGGGTCCAAAAGAGTTGACCGAGAAAGGTGGGCTCTCTAAGGCGCTCCGCGACGGTTGTAACTCCCCCGGGAACGGGATATTGGGTGCCGATGGATTGCGGGCAAGCGACAGGCGTCGTGCTTCCAGCTCTGCGGCGGCAAGCTCTTTTCGCTTCTGTTCGGAGAGTCCAGTTGGTGGCACCGTGGCTGAGTGTATCTCCCTGGCCTGTTCTGGAGAAAGCATGGTTGCGATCACCTGGGATTTAGGGTCGAAGACAATATCATCAATGCCTTGACCAACAATCATCGACTCTTCTTGGTCATGAAGCGTGTGTGGTCTCGACTCGTGACCTTGACGGCTGCGAGACCTCACCCTTGTGCGTTTTGTGTCCGGGGAGGAATCGCTGGTTGCGCCGGCGCCTTTATCTGGCCGACGGCTAATACTTCGCTGCTGAACTCTGAGTCGCTCTCTATCACTAGTGACCAGCCTCAAGGCATCATCCGTGACAGACATCGGAATCGGGGAAGTGGGAGACCTTGGACGTGACATCGGTCTGTCCATGCTGCGGCCTCTTGAAGGCTCATTCTTCTCCAAGGCCACGTGACTAGCCGTGTGCCGACTAGAAGAGCGGTTGTTGCGGCGCTCTGAAGAATTCCTAGATCGGGGTTTCCTCACTCGGCTTGTGCTCCGCGCTTTAGATGCAAGCTTGTTTCGATGACTCTCCTCATTTTTCTCGATATTGTGGTAATGAGCCAGCTCCTCTGGGGACATTGGAACTGGAGAAGAAGGCGAGCGCTTGGCTGCAGGGATATAACGGTTTTCATGTCGCCCCCTAGTCTCTTGGGATGTATTCCTAGAGCGATTTCGTCGGGCAGAGCTCTGACTCGCGGCATCTTCCGTATTCCGGCGACCACGGCCTTGTGAGCGGTGGCCCGGGGTTCGTCTCGCATGGTAGTTCGCTTCGTCTAGACTGCTTATATACTGGTCGATGCTCCGACCACTGACGCTTGGACTTTTGCCAGAGCTGTAGCCGTTCAAGGTGGATGCTGGACTCCTGAAACTACCCATCATCGGATCCGATTGTTCATGCAAGTCTTCTTGGGACGAGTCCGCGTGAAGCAATTGGAGCTGCAAGCTGTCCGGCTTCCGATCTCGAGATCCGATTCGGCTGTGTGATCGCTCTTGGAGGACATCGAATATACCGGCAGCAGGGGAAGGAAGGCCCTTGATGCCTGCAAATTTGTCTAAACTTGCTTGAACGGCGGTCTGAGGACTCGGCTTATAGCTCTCGTCCGGATCGTAGCGCGCGGAAGTCAGCAAACTTAGCGGGTTTCCTTTCTGCTTGGGCTGCTCTTTATCTTGGGGAGGATCGTCATTCTCCGATGTTGAACTATAGTCCTCCGGCTTGTTGAAGCCATTGGAGGGGAATGTTGGCGGGTGCACATCAACGGGTGTCTCTCCAATAGAAGGGAGTCGTCGTCTGGAGAATCCCGGAGTTCCCGTTCTAGGATTCATTGCATTGTTGAGGCTTTGAGCATTATTCATCTTATAAGAACCAAAGCCTCCAGGAGAAACGGCGGATTCTGCGACGGCAGATTCGGCGATTGGGGTGATTCCAGGAGCATTGGTCGGTGTCCGGTCATCAGACTTTAGTCCAGGAAATCGGAATTTCTGGTTCGGTTGAGGGTCGAAGGATGTGATCAGCTTGAGTGCTGGGGTTTTGGCAGTTTGCCGCATAGTCCCAGAGCCTTTGGGTTGAGGATTGGGAGGAGCCAACAAATTCGCAGGGTTTTGGAATTGAGGCTCTGGGGATGTCATTGGAGATCTCCTTGAAATTACATCTGCGAATGAAGCAGCCTGTTGGGCAGCTGGCGATGTCCAAGGTTCTGAAGGTTCCACCCCTGTACACATAAAACAGCGGATCGCAAGCTGCTGCTGGGAGTGGGAAACAACGTGCTCTCCCCAACATCTAACTAGGAAGGATTGGCGTTGCCAATCAGTGGGCGTAACAAGGCAAGCCATAAGGATTGCCTCCATGTAGTAGTTCTGCGACACATACACCTCGATGGCATCGTTTCTGTCTCCAAGCCCGAGCAGAACGGTAGCCGATGTGTGCACGTCGCCAGTTTCCAGCAGCTTTTGAACAAAAGCCTGTCCAACCTTGTTAGCCTGCGACTCACCACTCATCTGGCTGAAGGCTAAGAGCATCCAGTCTGCGGTAGAAGCAGGGCCTGAGGAAAGCATAGAAACCATGTCGTCGGTATCTGATTCTCCAAGCCACTGTGCTAGTATAATGGCGCTTGGACTTCCCGGCTTGTGACGGCCGACTAGTTGAGAAATTAGTAAAAGAAGCTATTAGCAAAACTAAGTACGACGAGACACGTACGTTCATCGTTTATCAGCCCATCAATATCGCCCTCCCAGCCAAACACAAGGCTCAACATTTGCTTTCGTAGATCATCTGGGGTCAGGTTCGACTCATCAAGTGGGCGATGTGCTCTGTACGGCACGTCATTGAGGCGTGCACGTGTGAAAGGGAATAGGTCGATCGGTTCATCGGCAGGGCTCATTTGAACCTCGTTTCTCAGTCGAGAGCCGGCACCAGCACGCGAGCTTTTGGCAGAGGACATCGACACCGACGAGGCATATGCGTAAGACGCTCCGGACGGCTGAGGGGTCTCTCTGCCACTGGCTGAAGTCATGGAGAACGAGGTACCGGTATGACCGGATCTGCTGGGTGGCGAAAAGGGCATCATTCTGTATTTGCTAGAGGAGGCCTTGGAGCTTGCTGAGTTGGCATGGCTGCGGGCGGAGGCAGGGCTAGTGATATCCGCGCGCTGTTGTCGCACAGCATCAATGCCACTCGAGTCATACGGAGCACGCCTGGTTCCAAATAAGGAACCCGATTCGCGCATATCAGGGGCCTCTTGCAGAGTTCGAGGTGACATAGAGCGTGTTCGTGCCTCCTCCAAAGACGCAGGAACAACCCCAGGAGGCAGGTGTTGTACGTTGGCGACCATTGCTGGATTATCCAAATCATACTGCTGCACTGTATACTGAGGACCCAGTGTGAATAGTGTGGCTGTCGAGCCATAGCTTGCAAACCCGCGAGGGTTTTCGATCGTAGGAACCGGCTCCGAAGTGACATGCTTTGTCCTGACGTCCCAAGACCATGTTTCACTGAAATTGTTGATCCATGCGTTTAGTCTCTCTCTAATTGATTCGGTGGGTCTGTTTTGAAACTTACCCGTCCAGATATTGCACAATTCTTCCGTTCTTTGACCAAGCCATCCACTTTGGTTCTTCAGATGATGAGGTATCCGACCTCTTCAAAACTCGAATCACTCGTGGTGGCTCCTTGCCGGGCGGTTTTGCCACGCTCCAGACCCTGAGATCACCATTAGCCGCCAGAGTAGCCAGCATGTCCGACTTTTGCTTTGATGACGATGCATGCCATGCCAATGACACTATTGGGGACGGGCCACGGGAAGTAGTCATGGTATGGAGAATTGTAAAAGTTGGATGAAGCGTTGTTATCAAGATCGAACCATTTTGGTATCTGGTATTGGTCAGTCAACCTCTCTGGGCTTTCGGTTCACCTTGTTCAAGTGCTGATGGTCACGTACCCAATAGCATAAGTCCGGCAATCGGACCCCGGCGCTAAAGCGGTTATGGGATCAAAGATCGTACGGCAAGATATGTTCTCAGAGGTGGACGGTTCAAAGAGAATCACATCACCTTTTTCGTTTCCTGGCATCACACACATGTCAGTACTGATCCTTCGAAGAAATGTAGATAGGTAAACATACCAAAAACCACATTTCCATTTCGCATCCACGCTGCAACCCGTAACTGTTCGAAGGAGGCAAATCGTGCGATTACACTTCCCGTAAACAAATCCCAGACAATTGCCGTCTGTCCGACATCGTAGCTGACCACCAATCTCCCCGCACCTCGCTCGCTAACATTATCGACGCTTATGAAACTCACATCCTCGCCGTGGCTTTCGAACTTCCGTTCGATCGCGAGCGTATCGTGATGCAGGCACAAGATTGCCGACCCTTGCGTATATAAAAACAGCGAGGCGGTCGATGCACAGGGTCCAAAAGCGTTGGGCTTAGGTACATGGGGCTGCGATGGCATTGGAGGCGCCATTGGCTTGGATTCTGTAGCTCGTGGTTCCGGAACGGGGTTACTGTTCCATGTCAATTCGACCATCCTTTCCAGCCACGCCGGCTTGGAATTGGTGTGCGTTTCGTCGAGGTACTCTTTTTCTGCTCGGTCCTTTTTATCCCTGTACGAGAGTCGTGAATTGAACCCTTCTGCAGAGTCCGTTTGGACGGGTGCCGAGTGTTTACCGCTTCTGCAAAGAATATAGTCTTCCAAATTCCGTCCAGAAAGCCGAGGTGAAACGATGTGTGACAGGACAGACGACGTTCAAGAGCATCCCCACAAAAGCACCACACCCATTGATCGGAAACAAACAAGACAATGAACTGTTGGCACCGGATCGTCTCTCTGCTGTCTCAACCTGCCACGGTCCCAGCTGTCTCTAGAGAAACTGAGACACTGCCCACTATGGTACCTAGGAAAATCTAGAGGGGCACAGAGGATCAGCGACTAGGTCAGAGAAGGATGACAGGAGAACCGACAGAACGGTCCGGACAGCGGTATGAAAAGAAGGAGGGGGGGGAGGGAAAATAAGAGGGTTAGGAAAAGTAGGTAAGATTGTTAATTTGGACCAAGGACAAAGCGGGACGGGTGAATATGCAGGCGAGGAACATAGATGCAGGAGACAAACCAGGAGGACAAGGCACTCGGCAGGTTACCACGTTGGTGACATATGGCTGAGGAGGGGAGGGAAATCAAAGGGGAAAAAGCCTACCTGGGCAGAGAGGCGGGGAGAGGGGAAGAACCAAGCGACAAGAGCTTGAAAAAAAAGAGAGAGACAGGGTATATGGAGTAGTATGATCTTCCATTTGGTCTTTTTGTCTCAACCGATCCTTGTTAATCCTTATATTTTGATATTATTTTCTTTCTCCTGGCCATCTCGCGATCTGATCCCGTAGGATGGTAGGCTTCGACCGGCTTCACATCGACCATCCAAACAGATAGGCAGGCGGGTAGAGGGGATCCGTCCGACCATCTGAGAGGTCTCCAGAGGCAACGGCACAAGAAGATCGAAATCTCCAGCCGTCGAGCAATTGGAGCGTACGACATGGAGACAGGCGGGCGCTACCAGGGACAGGAAGGCGTGGAGCAGGCCGTTCCATGACTTCATTAGCGGACGAGTAGCGATGGCAGCGAGACGGGCACACCAACGAGCATGCAGCAACGGGTCATGAAAGTAGTCGATCCTCGGCGGCACGACATGGATTCGATCGCATATTGGTGATTGGCGGTGGAGAGTGCAGAAGGCGTTTCTTCACGCTGCAGCCCTCGTCACTTCCCCCGGCCAATCAGGGCACGTGCCCCGACCTCAAGTGACCTGCTCGGCGCGTAAAATGCCCCTTCGTCCCGTCGATAGGCAGCGAGTCCACAGGCCGTGGGCACGTCGGAGGGGATGTGAAATTCTGTGGCTTAACCGCCGTGCTCAAATCACATCCTGATCCTGCGCGATATTTATAGACCCCGTGGTGGTCCCTCTGCGCCTACTGTCTTGTCGGCCTGCCTAGTATACCAATGGTATAATACCCTGGGGAGGGGAAGCACTCTGCGAAGTAGGTTCAGTGGTCGTGCCTATCACTCGGTGCATGGGATGGCAAGAATTAAGACAACCGAAGCAACAGAGAAAAAAGGGGGGGACGCAGTCATCAACGAATGGAAAGGAGCCACTCTCTTGATTGGATGCGATAGCATCTGCAGTAGTTGCAAAGGACATCAAGGATTTGTTTCAAATTCAGACACATGCCAACCGGTATAATTGATGGGAAATTGATCAGTCATGCATATAAGCCTAATTATCATCTATGTCGCTCATCACAACGAGTCTGGCGGTAGTCCATCCATCAATTGGCGTTGAACCCCTGTGGAGACTTGTGGGAGGGGAAAAGGAACATCGACAATTTGAAATTGAACATCGGAAACGGGAAAAGAACGAGAAAGCAAAGTCGATCACAAACATCGTACAGGCACATTGTTCCTGAGATTCTCTATACGAAGCGAAGGCGAGCGTTCTCGCAACTCTGCTCGTCCTCAACGGGTGGTGAAAAGCGGATGCAATGTGATGGATTGTGATCAACCAACAGCTGGTTGTGATTTGCCAGCGTTGGCGAAAAGGATTAAATGGTTTATTGCGGGGGTCCGAGGAGCTCAGACGGTGATGGGAAGTCCTGTCCGATGTGATAAGGAGGGGGACTCGTCCGCCCGTACCCACAGTTGGTGAAATTATACGAACGATGGGGCCTATGATCTTGATGTTTGATCCCTGAACCAACATGGGAAAGGAATACTGTCACGGTGGCGGTTTTACGGTCCTGCCGACTGTAGGATTAAACTCCCGAAGCCGTGCAACAAAAGCAATGAGAAGGCCTGGATCGTTGACCGCTACCTGGACCTGAGCTCGGCCACGGCAGAGCGTCGGAACCCTGACCCTTTTGCTGTCATTCGCAAGACTAAAGAGTAAGAAGTACCGTACATCGTCAGAACTAAGAAGGGATGAGGAGGGGAAAGAGTTGCTCGGACGCTCGCTCGGCCGGTCTTAGAGGGTGTTGCGGGCCTGAGTGATCAGGTGTCGATGCTGAGTCACTCCCGGTGGGTCGGCGATAAGATAAAATCCCTTATCGGGCATATGTCGGCCCGTTGAAATAAATCATTTTGATTCTCGACGGCAGCACGACGACCTTGGAGACTAGACCACTCAATCTGTTGCATGATAATCTAATCCTCGGAAATTGTTCTTTCGGCTCTAGTCAGGAATCTCTATTCATTCTTGATCTCCCTCCGCAACAACCTCTACCTCCGTCTTCACCATGGGTGTGGCAAAGAAGACTAAGAAATTTGCTCAGGTACGATCAGTGATTCTTGTCTACAAACCTGGGTCCTCTCGAGCATCATAGCTAATACAACACGCCCTCATAGGTGAAGCGCGCTATCACCAAGCGCGATGAGCGTGTCAAGCAGTCCGCCGCCGGCAACAAGAAAGACGACAAACCCAAAGACGAAGTGACCCGGCACATCCCCAATGCCCCGTCGAACATGTTCTTCGCCGCCAACACCGCTCTCGGACCTCCCTACCACGTCCTCGTCGATACCAACTTTGTGTCCCATTCTATCCGAGCGAAGACGGACATGCTCACAGCGATGATGGATCTGTAAGACTGGCTTCATCCGCCCCGAGGCCGGGATCATTGGCTTACGCTTCTGCGAACAGATTATACGCGAAATGTATCCCCACCTTCACAGACTGTACCATTGCAGAACTCGAAAAGCTCGGAGACAAGTTTCGGTTGGCGCTGCGGGTGGCCAAGGATCCCCGATGGGAAAGAATCAGATGCAGTCACCCCGGCACGTATGCTGATGACTGTATAGTTGACCGGGTATGTGTCTTTAGCTTGCCGCCTCTGTCTGCAGTATGTCAGATTGCTAATGTTTCTCATAGGTGTCGAAACACCGAATCTATATCGTCGCCACAAACGATAAAGACTTGGTCCGTCGCATCCGCAAAATCCCCGGTGTACCGATCATGAAGGTCGCAAGAGCCAAGTTCACCATCGAAAAGCTACCGGATCATTTCGAATAGATGGAGGGGCGATGTACGAATATTTTTCATTTCAATTTTTTTTTATACCACACCTACACCAGTACATGGAATATTGGTTGAAAAGCGCGGGGGAACCAAAAAGACCATGGGAGACAACCTAAGTAGTTTTCATACTACTATGATAATGAAAGTGATCATGATAGATAAAACAGCCAGTGCCTTATTCTTCTTTCGTCATACTCCACATAATCAAGTTCAGATCGATATGAGTCAATGTTCGCATCCTGGTCGCTGAATCGGCGAGTCTTGGCCACTCATGACAAACCGATAACGGCTACTTCCACTAAAAGTGCGGGGGCTCCATCCTTTCTCTTTCCCAGCCTCGAGTAACACCCTATGACTCTAGACGTCCCTTTAGCATCTTTCTCACATCCTCACAAGATACCACAAGCATTGGAAGCTTTCAATCGCGAAAAATGGCCACAAAGGAGACGATCGTTGTTATCGGGTATGCCACAGGCCGCTGATCATGCATCCGGCATCCACATGCAACCTCAGCCACTCCCAAAGTATACATAAACCCAACTAACAACCACCCTTTAGAGCCGGTGTAATCGGCCTCTCTACAGCCCTACGCATCCAACAACATCTCCAACCCTCTCAATCCATCCTCGTCGTCGCACGCGACTTCCCCAACACCACCTCCCTCAACTACGCCTCGCCATGGGCAGGCGCGCACTATCGCCCCGTACCAGGGTCCTCACCACAATTCCTAAAAGAAGAAGCGCAAGCACAGCGCACATGCGAGCACTTCAAGATCCTCGCGGCCCAGGAACCCGGTTCGGGCGTGCAATCCCTCGAGGGAATCGAACACCTTGAGTCACCGCCGGCGGAATACCTCGACGAGACGAGCGTGCGGAACTCCTACGCGCATCTCGACGGATTCCGGAGACTGTCTCCGGAAGAGCTCCCGGGGCCGGTGACATGGGGTGCCAGCTATCGGACCTTTGTGATCAATTCGCCGGTCTATTGTGCGCACATGCTGCGGCAGTTCGTGCTGAAAGGCGGCCAGACGAAAGAGTATACCCTTGCTAGCGCGATGGAGGCGTTTTATTTGGCAGAGAATGTGAAGACGGTGGTCAATTGCTCCGGGATGGGGTTTGGAGATCCGAAATCGTTCATTATTAGAGGTACAGTTCATACCTAGGCCCGACAGACGTTCTTTTGGGCTTGTTCTATGTTCCATCCTCTCCCCTCCTGGAACTATTGATGCGAGCTCTGCAACAATTAACTAACCATGACCTCCAAGGCCAAACATGTCTCATCCGCAACCCATGCAATGTAACTCTCACGCGCCAAAACTCCGACGGCACCTGGTCTTTCTGCATCCCGCGCCCCCTCGGCGGCGGGACAATCATCGGTGGCACGAAGCAGCCTCACAACTGGGATCCGAATCCGTCGATAGAGATCCGAAACCAGCTGCTAGCTAACGCTGCCAAATGGTTCCCCTTCACACCGGAAAGCGAGGGGAAATTTGACGTCATCCGCGACATCGTGGGCCGGCGACCAGCAAGAGAAGGTGGAATGAGGATTGAGGCGGAGAAGGTGTCGGACGATAAGTTCGTTGTTCATGCTTATGGGGCTGGAGGACGAGGATATGAGCTGTCTTGGGGAGTAGCTGGGGATGTTGTCAAATTGATGCGCGACAATGGGCTGGTGTTGGAGAAGGCGTCGCTCTGAGCCTGAATAAGAAATATATCCTGCGTGCTTGCAGTTTGTGTATAAAACTTGGTTGAACCTTCAGAATCATGATTCGGGTGAAATGCAAGGACAGTGTTTCATGCTCCGAGAAAAATGCTTGGTTTATTCATATAATCAAACGAACATTTTTGGTAGATACAGAGAGAAAAAAAAAAAAGGCATAACAATCATGTCAGTTCTTTCAGCCACACATCCAACACATGATCTATCTCAATCTTGTGTATCCAGGTCGTTTTCGACCAGGCCCAACCCTACCTCCAGGCATAGCCCATCCTAGCAATCATATGTATTGCAAGGGAAGAAAGCAAGGATGAACGATGACAAAACAAATCGCCAGCGCTAACCGTCAGAGCCCTCGATCGCAGAGATCTATACAAAGTCATAGTTTGGTATCAACAAAACAAGAACCAAAAAGAGCATCACTGTATCCATCTTCCATCAACAAGAGAGCAATACCAACGGGCCCGGACAATGGCCTGGTACACCGGTTCCAGCGTGAAAGAGGTCCGTAGCCCCTAATCCCAAGATTCTTTTGATCTTCTTGGGTACAAATCGCACAGACTTCATCCTTGGCCTTCCTGTGCAATTGTCTCATCATTCGAGACTGGTAGCGGTCCCCCGTGTAGCTTCGCCAAACGTTCCTCTTCCTTCTGTTCGCGGATTTTTTCGGTCTCTTTCCGCAAGGCCTCCAGGTTGAAGGCTCCGTCGTCGTCATCCTCATCCTCGCTGCTCTCATCCTCATCCTTCCAATCTCCGCTTTCGAACATCGACCGTCCAGTAGCTTCCTTAGCCTTACGGGCTTGCTCCTCGGCGGCCTTCTTGTTGAGACGATCCTTCTTCCACGCAGCAAAGGTTTCGGGCGTGACGGGTGTCAGCTCGCCGGTCAGCTTGTGTCGCTCAGATTCCAGCCAGTCTTCCAATGTCAGAGTATTCAGCGGGGATTTATCCATCAAGGCCTTCTCTGCCGCCCTCTGTTCCCTCGTCTTCAGAACGAAACTATGAACGCAATTAGTATGTCTAACAGACAGGAAACAGGCAACATGAAGAGCGGAGCATACCCAGGTGGCAAACTGTGTTTGTACATGCACTTGTCACCTCCATTGGGACAGACCCAGAACCAACCATACTTCTGGTTCTCAACAGCTTCGATGAAGTATTTGCAGACCTTGTCGGTCGTCGTTCTCGGGTTGCCGTGCTTGCTCATAATGACCTTGCGGAGCTTCTCCTCGTCCCAGCTGTCAATCGTATCTTCCTTCTTCTTGTCTTCCTCAGCAGCCTTGACGTCACGAGAGTCGGTGTACAGATCCTTCTTCTGGGCCTTTCGCTCGATGTTCAGGTCGTGGCTGAATTTACACTTGCGGCCCTTCTCACAGTTGCCCTGCTTGAAGAAGATACACAGAACGGTCTTAGGGTCCACGCCAAACGGCACCTTTTGTACCTGCACGGGCTTGAACAGCTCTAGGGCCTCGCGCTTGGCTTTCTCCTCGGCGGCCTTCTCTGCCTCACGCTTGGCCTTCTCAGCTTCCTTTCTCTTTGCATCCATAGGCTTGTTGGACTTTGCTTGCGCTTCCATCTGAGCAATCTGTCTCTTCGCGGTGGATCCTTTTTTCTGCATTATGACGAAATGCACATGTTAGTCTTTTACTCCCAACTCTGACTTGAAAGTCGGTGTCGAATTAGAGGGTGATCGCAACGTACGTTTTTCATACCGAAGGTCTAAACCAGCACCGGAAAAAGAAAGGAATTAGCCCTATCTGTCTCTGTTGTATCATCTCACTCTCACGCGATCGGTACAAACCTTATCCTCAACGGTGGCCTTCTTCTTCTTAGGCTGGTCCTGCTGCTTCTTGGGAGGCATGATGAAAGATTTGACTGCTTCCTTTCTCCTCTAATATATGGTATATGAAATATGCGATAGCAAAATGCGCGCCAAAAGACGGCAGTGGCGGACGATTCGCTCCTCTCTCAAGAAACCCAAGTGGGAAAACGGGAGCGCTAAAGGTGGGCTGAAAAAACGCAGAGCCCTTCGTAAACACAGGGACACAAAAGGCTAATCGAAAAAAGATCTAAAGAGGATGGCGTCTAGCGTCGGAAGATACCTTTAACGGCCTTGACAAAAGGAAATAAGAGGATCAAAATGATCGTGAGAGAGAGGGAGGGCGTTTTTGGGTGGTTGATCTCGGGAAGTTGCAAGTTCAGTTCGCTCTCCTCCACATTTTCAATGTGGTGGGTTTAATCCTTTCTTAGCTAAGGTGCGTGTGGCGGCACAACCCAGACCTGTGACGGAACCGCCCTCGTTTTTTTTTTTTTTTCTCCTTCCGCCAAGGGGTCAGCGACCTACCATCTTCCTCGTTGCTGCTGATATAATAGTCTTTGGTATGATAGGTCATCCTGGTGACAATGTTGGTTATTCTAATTAACTACATAACTACTCCGTATGCAATCGAGGGTTCTTGTTGTCAAAGATTGTAAGCAGGCGCAATTTTTATTTAGGGCATGACGACGTAATAGGCGCTACCTCTGATACACACGGACCATCATTTCAACAATTGAGGACGTCACTTACGCCTGAATTGGATAATATCGTAAGACTAGATACCTAGTATTATTACGGCCGCCATTCAACACCTGCATCTTTCCATATCACAATAGATGCTAAGTAGAGTGACTTTAGCCAGTAGCCCTGCTGAATGATTGAAATTCCATGTTTTAGTTATATTGATCCTATCAACCGATATTTTACCACTTCGTCATTCATTCCGTGCATACGTTCCGATTCGAAAAAATAACCCTCATTCTAGCTCTCCTCTTCACGTCACAATCGCATATGAAACCGCCGTAGCAGTAGTTAACCATCATGGTCCCGGATAAAGCAAGCTTGCACAAGTTTTGTCGTTCGTCATCAGGAAAGTTTCATTGCTTCTTATTTTGTGAATCATAAGCGAATCCAAAAGCTAAGCACATTTCACCATTTAAGAGACCTCCTGGATCTTGGCGTTGCCATCGGCCTTCTTGTCGCCCTCGTCGAGCTCGGGCATTTCTTCCTCATCCTGAGTGATAAATGTTAGTGGCTATACCAAGTAATAGATCAAGGGTTGTTCAAACATACCTCCTCCTCAGCACCGGGGGCGCCTCCCATGCCCTCAAGGCCAGCGCCGAGCTTAGAGAAGTCAATGTTTCCAAGGCCTCCCTGGTCACCACCCATGCCCTCGAAACCACCGAAGTTGTTGGCGTAATCATCTTCGGGGGCTTCATCCTGTTCATCCTCATCGACCCACTATAAATGACCAGATTAGCGTCTCGCTCCTTACAACTATCGGGCGGGAGAAACATACCTTGTCGAAATCGGTCTTCAGGAAGTGAACCTTCTGCTTCGTCTCCAACAGACGGGGCCAGAATTCCTCCTTCAGCTCCTTCTTCCGCAGGACCAGCTCGACTTCACGGTCGCTGTGGTTCGTCTTGGAGTTCTCGGGGTCGATCTCGCCAAACAGATCCAACGAGACCTCGTATCTCACGCCCTTCTTGGAATCTCCGGAGAAGGTAACATTCTTCGAGGTGATGTTGAGGGAGGCGGAGGAACGGGACACATCGGGAGCCTTGATGCTCACGTAGAGGTAATTGCGCTCGGCATCAGTGCTGGAGGAGCGCTGGGCCCATGTGACTGGAGGGGTAACGGTGTAAGTAAAGAGCGCAAAATGTATGAAAAATGATCCGTCATGGTTTCCAAGCCCGAGCAGGCACTGTCAAAACACATGATATGTGGTGAAGCACGGTGGTATGTTGAGCAAAAAGCAAAGCGGGGAAGGTATGAGGGACCGCAGAATTACGTACCTTCGGGGTGGAGCTTAGGAAGTTCAGGCATTGTGAAGGATGATAGATAATAGAGAGGTTATAAAAAGGAGTAGAAAGATGTGATAAGTCAGAAGTAAAGCTGGTGGGAAAGTGGTCAGTGAAGTCAAGGGAGAGCAGAACTGGGGCTGGATGAAGAAAGCAAGTGAGGCCAGCCTTCGCTAGTTGGTTAGGGACGCTCCTTAGCTGATGATCGGCCTAGAAAGTACTGGAACTCTCACCTGCCCGCTGTTTGCCCTGTTTGCCTGCTTGCGGCCTCAGGCCTCCTCGACGTCACTCTTCCTTCCTATTTGGCGCATGCGGTGAAAATTACCGTTTCATTACAGGTACGGTGACATGACTAAGCGCTCGGCGCTCAGAGGCCAACTCCAGGGCCGACTCGCTCGCTGGCACCGGTGATCTCCCATTTCCAGACCAGGGCAGGCTGACGACGATGCGAACAGCGACTCGGAAGAGGGCTCTCTAGACGACTGTGTGATTTGACCTCGATCGACTATCTCCGGATTCATCCTTTTGTTCTCTCTCCTCGTCTATTGTGCTGGCTGTGGTTTTGGACTTCTGCCTTATCGCCCTCCCAATCGGTGCCCCGCAAGGGCTTCCTGTCACTCCAGACATTCCGTCATCGCCATATGATAAATCACCTTGAATTGTCCTTAAATACAATAGCGAAACCCGCCTTACCATAATTTTTCACGATTTGTATACACAGTCTTTAGTCGACCCCACCAACATAAAGTCTTGATCATGGAGACTCTCAAAGCGGTCTTTTTTGGCCCTGATCCTCAGACGCAGGTATGGCCCCATGGCAATTGATCGACCAACCAAGCCATACAGTGGACTAATTTACTTCTCCGTGCAGATGAGGAAATGCAATCAGATCATCCGTTCTAATACCCGCCAATTGGATCGCGATATCATGCAACTAAAGACTCTCGACACGAAAACACGACAGTATATTCTAAACGCCTCCCGACGAGGCCAACGGAACCCGTCACAGGCCAAGCAGGCCCAAACTGAGAGCAAGACATTTGCACGAGAGCTGGTGCGGATCCGAAAGCAGTCGACCCGCCTGACTACGAGCCGGGCTCAACTTCAGAGTGTCCAAATGCAAGTGAACGAGGCCTTTTCGATGCGCAAGATTCAAGGGAGTCTCAAGACGTCGGCGGGGATCATGAAAGACGTCAATACGCTCATACGACTTCCCGAGCTATCAGCCACAATGCATCAGCTTTCGACGGAGTTAGTGCGCGCCGGTATCATTGAAGAGGGGGTGGACGATGCGATCCCCAACAACGATTTCCTAGAAGATGAGATCGAGGACGAGGCCGATGCCGAAGTGGACAAGATCCTGCAGGAGATCCTACACGGCAAACTTTCCCAAGTCGAAGACATCAAGCCGGAGAAGCCCATCGAGGAGGAGACCCCAGCGGTCGAAGAGCAATTCGAGGATCAAGAAGCTGCTCTTGCCCAGATGAGGGGACGACTGGAAGCTTTGAAGAGCTGAGACCGCGAACAAAGTGGGTCAACATACGCCGATCGCGCTGCCCGGATTTTACGACAGCATGCAAGGTTTTATCATGAGAGCATCTATAATTGTTGATGTGTTTTCCGTACTGTATAGGGAGTTTACAGGGATAGGGTGCTTGATTTATCTTTTTCTGCCAATAACAATGTCCTAGGGCTGGTCCTATCATGAGAATTTTCGTTATTTTTCTCACTCTTTGGTTTCTTGTTTTGGTTCTTTCACCGTTTGTTCCTTGTGGTCCAAAGTAGATACCGTCTGTTTTGTATATTGAATTGAAAGAAACAAGAGTGGCGACCTCTAGAATAGTAACTGAAAATCCACGGAACACTACCCAGATAGGCTGTCTGAATTTGCCTTCTCAGAGATGGTATCTTCCTATCTAGCTACCTGTACCTACCAGTAAAATGGATTCCGGAGGCTGCCTTGAGGCAGCAATGCGGACGGCGAATCGCAGGCGGGCGTCAAGTCACGCATCCGGCGGCGGGCAACAACTCAAAGCGGACTAGCGTCCCCAGCTCAGCCTCTGGCTCTCCCTCTTCGATCTCCTTCCGCCCTGGCTTATCTTTCCCAGTCATTCTCCCATCCTCTCTCTCTCCTTTCCATCATCCGCACCGCGTCTTTCCATCAATACGTGGCGTGTCTTTCGTCTGCTACTCTATATTTTCTCATCTTCCCACATCAACTTTCGCGCATTTACATCTTGTTACGCGCTTCCGAAGCAAATTCTTTCTACTCTCGACTTGAGTCTCCGGTGGCGCAATACCTGTCACCCAACACCCGAAAAACACTCTTGTACCCAACCAGTCTCGAAAATCCTTCTCCCAACAATGTCTGGCAAGCTCGACAAGTCTTTGGACGAGATCCTCGTCAACCGTCGTCAGAACACCCGTCACCGTTCTCGCCGTTCGGCCCCGTCCAAGCCTGCTGCCAGTACTATTCCGGTTGGAGGAGTGAAGAAGACTACAAAGGCTGCCAAACCTGCTGGAAAGGCCGCTCATGCCGGTCACCCGGCTTCCACTGAGAGCAAGATTATGGTCAGCGGCTTGGTAAGTTTTGGCCTTGTTGATTGATCTTTTTCCGTTCTTTCCGCTGAACCCGCGCGCTAACTTTGACCAGCCTTCCGATGTGAACGAGGCCAATATCAAGGTATGTTGATCGAGAGGCCTTCGCCTTGGGCTTTATCGCCATGTGTTTTTCTCGAGACCTTTGAGGCGCAACCGGCTTTCATTCGCGTTCCGACCTTTGTCGCGCCAATCCTATATTCCTAAGATGACCCTCCCTTGGGCATTTGCGCAGGCAGTCAACTCCTTCAAAGCCATTTTATACGCTAGATACAAACTAGCGTCATTCTAAATGAGCTGAAGTCGAGTTTTGCCGTAGTTTTGCATTACGCGTTGTCCCGCTCAAAGTAGCCATATGGACTTTTGTGCCTGAGGACTTACGCTGCAGACTTTGCCGCGGATGATGTTTGGAACACATCGTGTTTCTACTCCGCTTGGCCGCGCTTCCTCCTTTTTGTCGCAGCATACATAATGGGTGTCGGGCATCAGCGAGCGCATTAGCAGACCAACAGAACAATAGTATCCCAGAATCGGCGGTATGCAATCCGCCTTGGGAAGACCTATCCACGGCCTAGCATGGAAATGACTATACTTGAAGATGGGCGAGAGCATTTCCATGCGACCGGTGGAGGGCTAGCCTTGGATTTTGTCACAAACAGGCTACAGAGGGTGTCCGGGGGAATACAGTGGTTTCAGAATCGCCGCACAGGGAAGCTATTGTCCAATGATGTTTGGGCTATTATGGATATCGGTCATGGATTTGAGCAGTTCCTGGTTTATAACATGTGTATGAGAAAGAATTTGCTCGAACATCGACTGACGTGGATCAACGCAAGAGACGCAAAGCGATGTTCAATGTCCCAAGAGTCTTTGCAGCCATGGTTGGGACTTATTCTGTGCGACTCTTGATGTTGAACACTACGTTTGTTTGTTTCAAGAAGCACTATCCATTACTAACTGGCGCTGTGTGCTCGCTGATGCTCATTTCTGTCGAAATATTTGGGGTCTCTACGCGTTTTCCGATTGCGTTCTTCGCCGGTTCTTGTTTGCGACTTGGTGACTGAAACATCAAAAGGCCTTAATACTGATCGTGTATGCTGGTGCTCTAGGAATACTTCACCAAATCCGCAGGACCCGTCAAGCGAGTCATGCTCACTTACAATCAAAACGGCACGAGCCGCGGCATCGCGTCTATCGTTTTCAGCAAGCCCGATACTGCCGGCAAGGCTGCCAAGGATCTTAACGGACTTCTCGTTGATGGAAGACCCATGAAGGTGAGCTTTACCTGGACACTATTCGCCCAATGTTTCCCTGTTTCTCTGTTTCTAATATCATTTCTCGCCAGATTGAGGTTGTTGTGGATGCGTACCATGCTCCCGAAGTCCCCGCTGCCAAGCCCCTCAGTGATCGTGTCGCGTAAGTTACCAGCATGTCGTCACCTGCATCGACCAGTATGTACTAAACCAAGAAACAGACAGAACAAGTCTCAGCCTAAGCCTGCAACAGCCGCCAAGCCCGCTGCCGCTGGTAAACAGCGTGGCCGTCGTACCCGTGCCCGTAACACGAACCGCCCCAAGCCCAAGACCGCTGAGGAGCTCGATGCCGACATGGTCGATTACTTCGCTTCTAACGAGAACGCCGGTCCTGCCGAGGCTAGTGCCCCTGTGAATGGGAACGCTCAGCCTCAGACCAACGGTGGTGACCAGGACCTCGGCATGGCTGAAATCTCCGTGAGTTTACCTGTCGACCCTGACGATGCCTTGCATTAGACTAATGAAAATAGTAAATTCTTTGATACCTTTCTTTGCGACTGCAGATGCAGGTTACTTCTGCCAGTCATGAGTGAAAGCGTGTCTTTTAACTATCTATCCTGACGGAACCAGCGCGGTTAAAAGTGCACTCTTTCAATCTTTCAATTTTCCAATTTTCTTTTCGGCTTCTGTTTACCTCCTTTTCTTTCTCCTTCAACACACTGTCTTCTTCTCTTTTTTCATATCTTAACTTGTTGTTTTTCTTTTTATCTTGTTTTGCTGGTATCGGAGGTCATGGATAGGAAATCGAGAAAGCACTGTACTTAATAAACCAGCAGATTACCCAATAAACAGCTGGAACTCAACAGAAACGAATGCCCATGTGCATGTACTTGCAACATCATACTCGTGGCCGTATATGGCATGTATAAATCATTATCTTCGCTACTTCCCTCAGGTCGTCGTCTATACCTATATTGAAGCACAGCAAGTCCAATTGAACGAAGTCAGCACACCACGTATTCAGATACATCGCAAACCTAGGTGCCATATGGCCAAAGTGTGGACGAACATGCTTGGATCACCTATCACGGACGCAATCGCCCGAACTGTTCAATCCCGATGGTATTCGATATTTTTCGAGTCCGAAAGTCATATCACACCGTCGGGGAACGGTGAGAGTTCTGATCCAAATCAACTATTTCCTTTGGTCGGTAAGATCACCCCGGGGAGGTTAGCTCAGACGTTCCTTTCCAACCCTCGTTCTATAGTGATGTTTGATTCTGCATTCTTCTCAGTCTTCTGCTCTTTTGGGGTCATCTAATGGTGGATGCTGACGCTGGCGAAATTCACAGACTCGGAGGGGGCAGGAATCCATGCTTCTTAGCGTGACCAGTTCCGTATCAAGCATCTGTCCGCAAGGCTTAGGATTCTAGGCATTCTAGCAAAATGAATCATTGGTCAACATACTGTCAGCCGCATTGCACCGGTAGTGTATAGGAGAAAGCAATTATGTTTTCGCCCTCGAGTCTGCTGGCAACAGATAGCTCAAGCCTTGTCTGCATCGCGGTAGTACACGGTAGCGTCGAGTTGAGCAGAAGTGGCGGTCTCATCGCGAAGTCGAGGACAGGGCTTCTTATCATGTGCAGGGCTCCCAGGGGGAAACGCCCATATCGAGCAGGGATTTGCAGTGTCTCCATCAATTAAGATAAAATCCCGGCAGCCAGTGAGCTATACACACGCATACTGTACAGCCAAGGAACAGAAAATAGCAGAGGTAAAACAAGAAAAGATATCCAAGAGAGTAGACGATGGCACCGGCTGGAACAATTCAAAGCATAGGTTACCGGGGGCCCGGTAGAATTGAAATGAGTTTCGGATGAGGCTAGAACTAGCACGGGCTTGGTTAATCATGTACGGTGTGTTTTAATAGGGAACTCACGTCTGCCTATTGAGAGATGCAACCTTGGAGAGAACAGAGGGAGGATTATATTTATCAGAATAAGCCTGAAACTAAATTCTTTGCTCTATAGTATCACACTTCAAGTTAAACATCACAAATTGGCCGGGTGGTCTAGTTGGTTACGACGTATCGCTCACACCGATAAGGTCCTGGGATCGAGCCCCAGTCTGGTCATTCTTTTTGCACTTTTGCCTTTACTCCAAGCAACAAAGTTCGGTTAGTATTACTGTTGAAAGGATAATAATTGCTGGCTTTACTACCATGTAGCTACATTATATACGGAATAGCCGCTCATGGTCAGTCCCCCGATTTTTGCGTGGGGGCTAGTATCTCTGCATTGATGCTTTACGCCGAACAGCAAACCTTCCAGGAATCACTTTGCAAGTTTCTGGGATGCTAAGAGTCAATTTAAGTCCAACGTCCAACTTCCAATTATATCTATACCGCAGGGCATGACTTATGTAGGCGCTCTAGATGCCGGAGATGTGAAATCAAGAATTTCGCCGTTTACATGCCCTTGCATGAGCATTTCATATTTACATCTTTCCTGCAAGGTAGAATTGAACAAGGCGATTAAAACCTCCAATCAAGACAATATGGTCTAAGGATTCCTTCTGGTCACCAGAGTGGCCAGCCGACACTGGCACCCACAAGTTATCTTTTATGATTAGAGAGTGAGGAAGAATCAAAGTGGCAACCAGCTAC